CCGCGATAGCTCTTCGATCTCTCGCCAGCCTGCGCCCTGAAACCCTTACGCCGCTGCAAGCTGCAGTGCGAAACGCCTGCTCTTCTCTTGATCTCGCTTTGCTTCTTCTTCGTCCCCCTTCAGCTAGTGCCCATCAGTCGGTGAGAGGCCTCCAGCAACTGGTGGGGTGAGTGACAAGGCTACATTCAAGTGAATTGAGCTGGTCTGAATCACCTAAACACTACACACGTTTGCGTCACCATCGCCCCCTCACTCTTTCTCCTGATTTCGACTAGATACAATTAATTTTTAATATTTGGTCTTCTACTTCCAAGGTCCTCAAGAACTGCCCAATCGCTTCGGTAACAACCTTCCACAGTCGAGACTACTATCAATCAGCCTTACAACCGCTGTTTTGGAAAAACCCCAATGGATCCGACTGGCACTCATCGCGATCATGAAGTGGTTGACTTGCTCTTTGATAGTGAGACGGAGGATGAAAGCTTCACGAGACGCGAATTGGAAGATTTCGACGCACGATCTGCAGCGGAGTTTGCTCACGACTACCCTGAAATGGATGACCCTATCGCAGATTTTCGCACTCAACTCCGGGAACACGACCACCAATTCATCGATTTGACCGAAATCCCAGACGTTGATGTTCCGCCATCTGACGCTGTTGTGGTAGAAGAACAAGAGCCACAGCCTGAGGGACGAGCCCCTGAATGGGGAGATGAAGCTACAGTCGTCACCGAAGCGGCCTGCTTGCAGATGGTATTGAGCGTGTTGCCAGACATCTCGGTCGATTATGTTCTCAAGTTGATTCAAGAAAAAACGACAGACACCACGCGAACAACAGCACAGTGCGAGCACTTCCTGACCGAGCTATTAGAGGGCGATCCATATCCCAAAGAGTCGGATGACGCGAACAACAAGAAAAGGAAGAGGGAAGATGAAGCTGAGAGTGAACTGAGCACCTACGAGAAAGCCGAGCGTGACCCCGAGATCGGTGGTTATGAACATGACGCGTAAGTACTCACTTCTTCACAAATTCTGTGGCGCAATGCTTGTATTCTGCTGGCTTCGCACATCGATACAGTATTAGATTGAGACACATTGCCATTTTCTGCTCGTATTGAAGGGAGTATTCTGAGGTTTTGCCACGCCTCGAACCATGGAACGATCTCCGTGCTCGCAATGCTGGCAACGTCACGCCTTCTTTGTACCTATCTACCCCTCTCGGCCAGACTTCTAACATTAATTTTCGCAGAACAGAGTTGCTAAAGGACGAGTTTCTCACTGTACCTGTACGGCATATTACGAGAGTTCTCAAGGAAGAAAAGACTCTTTACAAAGCCTACGGCGTTCTTGAACAACAAGTGCGCGATTACGCGCACGTTGCCAAGACGTTTTCGTTAATCAACAAGTCCCGTAACAAGCGCGGTGTTCAACTCCAGTTGATTGAGCAAGGTAGCCAGATACCCAAGGAGTTGCACGCGGCGAAGAAGAAGCGCGAAGTCGAAGCGGGTAAGTCGCACCTCGTAGTAGTCTATCTCATGAACCAAATTAATGATCAACAGCCAAACGCCAGAAGGTCAAAGACGCTGAGTTGGCTGAAGAAGCCAATTTGAAACACGCGGAAATGAACAATGAGATGGGCGAATGTGTATGCTGCTTTGACGACGTTCCTCTGAACCGCATGATTAGCTGCAACGGAGACATTATCCACTTCTATTGTGTAAACTGTCCTCGTCAGCAGATTGAGACGCAGATGGGTCAGTCTCGCTGCAGACCCAAGTGTTTTGGAGTCGATGATTGCAACGGAACATTTACGCGGCGACAATTGCAACAAGTCTTGAGCGACACGACTTTCGAGCGACTAGAGCACATGCAACAGAGAGAAGACTTGGAAGCGGCTGGTCTGGACTTTCTCTCCGAATGCCCATTCTGCGACTTCAGAATGGAGTGCCTGCCAGTCGAGGTCGACAAGGAGTTTCGATGCGAGAATCCCAAGTGTGGCAAGACGAGCTGCCGTATTTGTGAGAAAGAGTCGCATATCCCGCTCAGCTGCGAAGAATCCAAGAAAGACGGCCAGATAACCTTACGACACATCGTCGAAGAAGCTATGTCAGCAGCCCTGATACGACATTGCAACAAATGTAAACATCCATTCATCAAAGAACTTGGCTGCAACAAGATGACATGTACGCACTGTAGGAACGTGCAGTGGTAAGCTCCAACATGAAAGTGTCGTCACTGAAGCTAATTGCAATGCAGCTACGTTTGCTCCAAAAACGTGACCGACTATAACCACTTTGGCGATGCTGTGGGAGGCAAATGTCCGTTACACGAGAATATTGAAGACCGCCATGAACAAGAGGTTAAGAGGGCAGCTGATGAAGCCATGGCCAAAGTTCGGGCTGACAATCCAGACCTTTCAGATGCGGATCTGATGGTGCAGGTATCAGATCGTGTCAAGCAAGCAGAGGATGCGCGCAAAGGTCGAGCAACAGCAGAAGCACAAGCATTCCCTTACCACATGGTTGGAGAGCAGCTCAGACATGCGCCTGTAGGGCCTCCCTTGCCTGCGATACCGGCCTTTGGCCGCCCTCCACCAGTGAATTTGGCTCCAGATCGGTATGTGCACCCTCACCCAGGAGTTATTCCTGTACCCGCCTTTGGATACCGGGTCCAACCGATCCCCTTCTATCAACCCTTCTATCCCGTTCAACATATTGGTTACTATGGTGCTGTTCCACCACAACAGTTTGTGCAACACCCCATGGTTGCGCCATGTCTACGCTGTCATTTGTATCATCCGCCTAACCAATATTGCTAGACCTCGGCCATTAGACGCCCTTTGGGATATGCTTCCACCCAACCCGCTCCGGAATCTCGTCAACGCGGTCGGACCAGACGATGAACGAGCTCAACAGGCACATCGTCCCGCTGCTGTTGGAGCTGTCGATCGTTTCAACCTTGACCGAGTCCAACTTGGTCATCACCACGATCACCGCGACATGTTTCGTCGACCTCAAAAGGCCAATCACCAGGCCCCACAGGTCGACCGGGAAGCTAGAGTGATTGCTGCCGGACTTCGGCTTCAAGAGGCCAACCGTGATTATCTTGAGTTTCGACAACAGCGGCGAGACATGAGGCGACTGCAGAGGCTTGAAGCCGATGGCGCTCAGGTGGAAGGGCTGCAGCAGCGAGATGCTGAGGCGTATATTGAAGCTCGTCGAACTGTAGTGGCTGAGAGGCGCCGGGATCGTGCCCCAGCGGCAGTGCCAGCGCTCAGGGCTAGAAGACCGCATGCCCCTTGAGGATGGTAGCGGTTCGTTTCCTTCGCTTTACAACGTTCTCGATACTACATAGCATGACATCAGGGGTTTGGGCTATGCATGATGCGTATATGCACCGGGTGATTCGTAAAAGATGAAGAGCATTTGATACCTTTTAGAACATTCAAGTAGCACAAGGATAGTCATTGGCCTATAACTTATCGATTCATCTAATTGAAAATACTAGAGAAACTTGTCTTTGAACTATCCTCGTCTTTAATCTCGAACTTGGCTTTGCCTTCTTCTATCCAGTTCTCGAAGCTGAAGACGCCTGCCTGCACACTGCGTATTGGTATGACACTGGCGCCACCCAGATCCCTTCCTTCCCTTTCTCTCAGAATCCCTAGCTCAAAAGCTTCCTCGTCGAGCTCCTCTCTAAACAAGGCCTGCTTCGCTTTGCCTCTCCCCTTCTTCTGCAAACTAGGTTGGACCGGTACCCATGTCTCTGTGTGTCCCATGGGCGGGTCGATTTCAGGCTCATCCTTGAGTTCCATACTGATGTTGAATGAGCAGTTTGGTGGTAATGGATCGAGTCGCGGAGCACGCACCGCAAGCGCAATCAAGGCAGCGCGGTACTGTTCGCTGATGTCGGCATGGATATCGACATCGAGTGGTTTTGTCTTCTTTCTCTTGATAGTGCCATCATCATTGTATTCGACCTCGGGCACCCGTGTCTCATCTTCCCACTCAATGTCTATGTTGCGGTCTCCCTTGGCTACGACCGGGAAGGCGCTCACGTCGAACATGTAGCGCTCCATTATCTTGCCGCTGCCTGACCCTTCGCCCTCATCCGGGTAGCTGAAGATGACGATGGCGATCCTGGCGACGATGCCGTTGATGAGCTCTTCGCGCACGGCTTTTATGGCGTCGGTGACCCACTCGCAGACGAGCGGATGGCGCGATTGGTAGACGGGGGCATTGTGAAAGCGGGCTTTGGCGAAGGAGGTGGGTGGATAGAGTTCGCGGAGGCAGAGGAGCGTGTGCGTGTAGGCTGTGAGGAAGACGGTGAAGTGGGAGAGGTTTTGGAGGTATGTTGGTGCCATGTTCCGCGCGCCTCTATTCGGAGTTGGGTATGATCATGACGCAGACGCGTCTCGTCGCGTGTGCGTGAAGGCCGCTAGCGTGTCGATGAATGGCTGCCTGCCTGCTTCAAGGCTCTGGTAGGGTTGGTGGTGATCGGTATGGCAGATGTCGTGCGTATGCTGTGTTGACTGCCCCTGGCATTGTTGAGAAGACCAACGTGGCAGGCAGGTGAGGGTCGTGGGAGGGCGAGCGAAGGTGCAACCGCCCAGGTGTCGCGTTTCCTTCCCACGACCGGGAAGAGGCATCGTCGTCACCGCCCATCGGAGCGCATCGTGGTAATTGGCCACCTCGTCCCTTGCTGCAACTCAGCCGATGCTCCCAAACAGCCTCTTCCCTCGACATCCCCACGGTACATCCATCTGTCAGCCCTGGTAGGCTTATTGCTTCAGTTATAGCATCCGCTTAGCCACCCACCCCACTACCCAGAGATTCACGGAGTTGCCCCGCATCTCCGGGCGCGTTCTTTTTCCTCGTGCTCAATCGCCCAGCAACACCCATCAACAAACGCGTCAACAATCGATCCATCTTGCTCGCCAGCCGTTTTGGGGAGCGCTAGACGTGCCGACTAGCTCTATACGCGCAGGCCCCACGTTGAACATGGAGGACCAACTAGTCCAGCTGCTGTCAGCGACCCAAACCGCCCAGGAGGACACCCGCAAACACGCTGAGCAGCAGCTCCTCTCCCTCTACGGCCACCAGGAGCTCCCGCTTGGCCTCATTGGCATCGCCTGCCATGAGAGCGTACCTCTCAACATCCGACAGGCTGCCCTGCTGTACATAAAGAACATCGTGCTGGCAGGATGGAGCTCCAGTATCGACGAATGGAAAGGGCAGGCGCTGGTCACAGACGAGAACAAGGCCATATTACGGCAACAGTTGCTCACTCTCGCCACATCGGACCAGCTTGACCGCAAGCTCAAGGCCGCCGCAGGCCTCGTCGTCAGCAAGATCGCAAGCGCCGACTACCCCATTGAATGGCCAGATCTTCTCGACAATCTTCTCGCACTGATACCGAATGCGACAGAAGGCCAGCTTCATGGCGCTCTCAGAGTCCTCGGCGAGCTGGTTGAAGACTCGTTCAACGAACAGACCTTCTTTGCCGTAGCGCCTCAGATGATCAAGGTCCTGTACGATGTGGCCACCAACGACCAGAGGAAGCCGACAATGAGGGCCTTGGCTTGCAAAGTCTTCCACGGCTGCTTCGACATACTAGAGTTGGTGCTGGAGGATCACAAGGCCATGGTCAAGAGCTTTGCCGACGAGATACTCAAGGAATGGATTCCCTTTTTCGTCAACGTCCTGAACACTAGGCTCCCTGACCCACCGTCGCAAGAAGAAGAAGACCAGGATACACCGAATGCATCACTCTACAAAGGACAGATCGCTCTCAAGCTACAGTGTGTCAAGGTTAGTCATGTCGTATGATTCACTGCATACTTTGCAGTACTAAACAACCAACAGGTCCTTATGCGCATACGGTCCCTCTTTCCTGCCATCATATCACCACAAAGTATCGTCCTATTCCAGGCCACCTGGCAAGAGCTTTCGTTGCTTGAACCGGCATACTCTCTCATGTACATTCAAGAAGATCGTCAAAGCAGGCTAGAAGACGGCGATGGTCTGCCGTATACTTTGGACTTCCTAATCCTTGAAGAACTGGACTTCATGCAGGCGTGCCTCCGCGCACCTCCGGTTCGCGCACAACTCGAACAGGAACTCCAGAACCAGGCGCCGGAAAACTCATGGGTCACCCAGGTTATGAAGCTGGCTGTGGCGTACGCGCAAATCACCACTGAAGAGGAGGGACTCTGGGATGTGGATGTAAACATCTTTCTGAGCGAGGAGACGAGTGTGACGGCGAACTACACACCCCGAACGGCCTGTGGTGATCTCGTTATCAAGCTTGGCGAATGGCTCACAGAACCTACCGTCAACGGCTTATTGACTTACACAAGAGCGCTATATTCCGAGTCCAAGGGTTGGAAAGCTGAAGAGGCTGCGCTCTATGTGCTGAACCAGCTGTTGAGTGACTTCCAAGATGTAGAGAAGCAGATCAGTCCAGATACTGCGAGCGGCTACGTCGACTTTATCCGATATGCCATGCAGCAGCCCGACGCTTTCCTTCGAGCACGCGGTTACCTAGTCGCCGGGAGTCTGACAAGAACATCAGGAGATGCTCTGCAACAGCTTGGCACCTCATTCCTTGAGGCATCTCTGCAGGCCATTCCATCTGACGAGTCCGACGTTGTCCAAGTGTCGTGTATCCGAGCTCTGCAATACTACCTCCAGGCGCTCCCACACGCGACCACACAGCCAATACAGAACACCATCATCATGGCTATCAGTAATTACCTTGCCGCGCAAGACATGTCAGAGCTCAGCGACAGTGAGGATCTCATGGTTACTCTGGTCGAAACACTGCGAGATGCTATACTCATTGATACACGGATATGCATTACAGATAACGGTCTCGATACGCTTTTCCGGGTCGCCAGTCATCAAGCTAACAACTTCCAACTCACCATGCTAGTCACCGAAGCATTCGAAGAGGTGACTGAGACTATTGCGCGAATGGGTGGTGATGCATACGTCCAACTTTGCGCAAGGGTCCTTCCATCACTTATGGGCGCTTTCGACGTCGGAAGTTTGACGGAGGAGAACGCCTTGTGCAACTTTGCTGCCGATCTCCTTGCCGTGCTTGCCGAGCATGGACCAGAGCCACTTCCTGCTGGATTCGTTGCGACGACCATGCCGAAACTTACACGAGTGCTTCTGGGCTCCACCGATGAGGAGTTGCTGAAGTCCGCCACGACTGCAGTAAAGAACATCATCTCGCACGACCACCAACAACTCTTCGAATGGCGGGACGACACTGGAAAGGCTGGCCTCGAGGTCACTCTCATTATTGTTTCGCGTCTGTTATCTTCGTGCAGTGATCACGCTGCTGGCGAGGTCGGTGCACTTGCCGCCGAAGTAGTGGAGAAGGCTGGCCATGAAAGACTTGGTCCTTACCTGGAGCAGCTCTTGCGAAGTGTCGCAGTCCGTCTTGCACAAGCGGGACAAGCTCAATTCATTCAAAGTCTGACGCTCGTGTTTGCGCGTTTGAGCTTGAATCACGCCTCGGAAGTCGTGGACTTCCTGGCCGGCCAGGATATCGAAGGTCAAAACGGCCTCCAGGTCGTCCTAGCGAAGTGGCTCGAGAACTCAATCAACTTCGCCGGCTATGATGAAATCCGACAAAAGTACGTACGAACCTCTCCGGAGATCGAGCAGTTCACATACGAACGGAGATTGCCTATCGGAAGGCTTCAGACCGTTCGGAATAAGTTGAACTCCCCTCTCCCGCTACCTTTTATCAATCGTACATCGTTGCTGACCATGTGTTTTAGTGTTATCGCCCTGTCGAAATTGTATGATTTGAAGGACCCTCGTGTTGCACAGGTGCAAGTGCAGGGCGACTTGATACCAAACAATGACGGTCGCATCATGACCAGAAGTCGTGCGAAAAACAGTAAGCTTCTTCCATCATATATCTTCTTGTTTACCTTTACGTTGTCATTACTGCGCTCGATGAGTGTCATGTTGTGGAGCATGCTTGTAGGCTACCGCGTCATTCTTGCAACCAAGCAATGCAAATCCCTTTTTTTCATCCACAAACTGACGCTCGAATCAGATCCTGACAAATATACCATAGTTCCTGCCCCTCTCAAGATTCTCAAAGTTCTCGTCGTCGAACTTCAGTCCGCCTCTGGCGCACCCCTCGACGCACAAGCTGCTGCTGAGCTCGCCGAAGAAGATTCTGGTGATGACGACTGGGAGGATGAGGTGAATCCATTCGTCGATCTTGGCAGTGGCTTTAGCAGAGAGCAATTGATGGCGTTTGCCGCTGAAGAGCCGGGTGGTGGTCGTCAGCGCGACGATGAGACTCAAGGCTTCCTGGTCGACTTCTTCAAGCGCGCGGCGACCACGCAGGGCTTTGCTGAAGAGTTCGGTCAGCTCACGGAGGAAGAGCAGCAACGGCTAAGAGATAGCGCTGCATAGTAAGTGTTGACGTATACGCGGTCTATACAACGGGCTGGGAATCTCTAGACTGTACGGATATGCGGTGGCATTCAAAGGTGTGATGCTCCTTGTCTCCGTCTGCATTTTGCACGAGATGCTTCACCACTAGGATTAATAGATATGACGTTGGATGAAGGATCACAATCAATAGATGATAGGAAAAGTCGCTTTTAGGAAAGACTAGCTACACTTAAGTTTAGCGAATACCATGAACACATACATATGAAGAGGCTTGTTTCGATGTCGCATGGTTTGCTCGCTCGATGCCCAGGAAAATGGCGACCAGCCAACTGCAGCGCATTGCCGCCAATCAGTATACCGTTATCCGCAGGGGCCAATCGAGGAACAGCACTCTACCTTCTTTGATTGTAGTCTTGACCTTCTATCATCACAATCGCTGTCTGCTGTCCTAAATTCGCCCATTATGAGCGAAAAGGCTACAGCCGTCACTCATGCTCCAACGCAAGACCAACCACCGGACACAGTACCGTACTCTATCTTCACCCGTGGCGAAAAGCGGTGGATCGTTTTCCTTGTCGCATACGCTAGACTTTTTTCTCCTCTCAGCGGCTTCATTTACTACCCAGCATTGTACAATCTTGCGCACGACCTGGAAATTACACTCACCATGGCAAATCTATCAATCACTACCTACATGCTTGTATCTGGAATAGCGCCTTCAATACTAGGTGACATGGCTGATACCATGGGTCGCCGACCATTGTTTCTATTCGCTATACTTATATATACTATTGCCAATGTGGGATTGGCCGTTCAAAAATCATATCCAGCATTGCTTGTACTGCGGATGTTGCAGAGTGCTGGCTCAAGTCGTGAGTACATGAGAATATCTTTGCCAAAATGGTTTTGCTGATATATGCACCATTAAGGAACGATTTCGTTCGGCTACGCCGTCGTCAGTGACATTGCTACGCCTGCTGAACGAGGCGGGTTTATCGGAGCAGTCCTACTCGGGTATGCTATGACTATGTGCCGAAAATGACGATACTGTTCTAAACATCACACCTTAGCCAGAACGTAGCACCCAGTCTCGGTCCTGTCTTGGGAGGCATACTTGTGCAATACGCTGGGTGGCCTTGGATCTTCTGGACGCTTGCAATACTTTCCGGCATCAACTTCTGCATACTCGCCATTGTTCTCCCAGAGACCGCTCGAAAGATCGTCGGAAACGGGTCGATTATGCCTGCACGTCTTCCTAACAGGTCTTACTTGACACACATGAAGCTCAAATTGAACAAGTCATCAACAGCAAGTTCTGAGGGCTCAACGGATGTTCAGCGGACCAAAATGCCCAGCCTCAAACCGTGTTTCAAAGCCCTTTGGCAGAAAGAGAACGCATTGATTATGCTCATCAACGGCTTGTTCTACATGGCTTACTGCTGTGTTCAAGCGTCACTTTCGACTCTTTTCATAACGATCTATGGCTTCGAGGAACTGTACGCAGGCTTGATATATATTCCATTTGGACTCGGTTGCGCTTTGGCTTCTTATACTTGCGGTCAGTAGCATACGCCATATACACATAGAGTGGGAGCTGACAAATGCAGGCTATGTCATGAACTGGGAGTATCGGAGAGTCGCTTCCAGCTTGGGTTTCTTAATCGATCGAACACGCGGTGATGACCTCCTGGAATTTCCATAGAGAAGCCTCGCTTGCGCGCCACGTATTTCTATATGGGTGCTGCAGCTGTGACCACCATTGGGTACGGACGGGCTTTGGATGGGCATACGCATTTCACCATACCTCTGGTTCTCCAGCTCTTTATCGGTGCCTCGATCACCGGGGTATTCAACGCTTGCGGCACTTTACTTGTGGATGTCAATCCGACCCGCCCCGCAACAGCTAGTGCAGCTGCCAATCTATTCCGTTGCCTGCTTGCCGCCGCAGCTCTAGCAGCCTTAGATACTATCATCTCAAAGTTAGGAACTGGATGGACTTTCACATTGTTGACAGGTCTTACTTCATTAGCAGTGCCCATGGCTTTTAAACTACAACACACTGGAAGAAATTGGAGACAGAAAAGTCGGAACCAGTCATCGAAATGATGACATCGAGGACTTTTGATGAACTTAATGATATATTTGGGAACTATCAATATGACACAGGTCTACACCGACAATGTGGGAATACTTCGGTCATTCTAATTATCTGCTTGCCTGACATAGCTTTCTCCTCCTTGCCATACGGTTGCAGGTACTTCGCCCGGCACTCTACTTCGTGGAGGTTCTTCTCCTGTCGGGTATGGTGCGTACTTATCGACTAGGTAGCACATGTCGTTGTAGGCCCTATGACTGTGTAAGTCGATCTGTCATTCAATCTTGATAACTGCGACTTGCGTTTCTCTAACGATAGATCCAGGATGGTGCGCTGAATGGATGATGTTCATCTTGATACAGTACAAACGATTGCGGTCTTCGAATTCCTCTGCCGGCTCACTCACAGTCATGTTCCGGAGGTACTGTCGCTTGTATTTTCGCGATTTGATCTTATGCCTTTCGCATCGCCACATACCAATATCCATTTCATGGTGAGCGTAATATGCGCCAGCATCGAAGATATAGACGTTTCCGGTCGAAAGATCTGTTCCGACGTTACCTTCCCATAGGTCTCCATGGATGAGCGATGGTTTGATCTGACGGCCATCTTCTTCGAGCGCGCCCAAAAGCCTTGGGATCACATGGCTAAGTGTACGCTCTGAAACTGCCTCAAATTCCGGCCATGGGCTACACTCTTGCTTTTCGATGACGAGAGCAGCTCGAAGCAGCTTTGTGAAGAAGTTCGTCCAACTCGGGTCCCAAGCCATTTCCTGGACGAACCTGCCATGACAAGTAGAGACATGGAAACCAAACATCCCAGTCGGAGATTCACTTGTCCTGTGGAGTTCCGCAAGCTTGGCGCAGAACTGGACGGGGTCCGGCATGTCATTGGTCATGTTGATGAAGTCGCATAGGAAGAAGTACGTCTCTGGCGCCTTCATTTTGAATTTATCCCAAGTCAGAGGCTTGGGAATAAATCCTGGCGAAGTCTGGTAGAGAGAGCTCATGGAATTGAACTCTCCCTCCATCATCACGCGACCAGGCTCTTCGGTCGCAATCTTGAGGAAGAACTTCTCAACTCCGCTAGGAAGCAAAACGTTCAGACGGGCTGTAACAGTCCACGCGGAGGAGCCATAGCTGTGCGCAGACAGAACTTTGCTGCCCTCCGGTAGAGCTGTACAAGGCTATGAGCTCTAAGCATGTTATGACCGCTCCAAGGACTTGCCTTGGACCACAGCATCATCAAGAGGAAAGTCACCCTCAACACCAGTGCCCAGGCCTTCTTTCTTCGCAATTGAGTGTACTGATTTCGACATGCCAGGCAAAAGTAAAGTAGAGCTCTTATGACCTTCCATATATGACTAAGAACAAAACTTCTAGTTATACAAACATGTGAACTAGAGGTTCACACGGTAATTCACATGCCTGTTGCATGCAACCACTTGTATAAGTGGTGAGGTAGCTGTGACAGGCACTCGATTGGCACTTGCGTGGTGAAATCGAATACAGAAGATTCAAGACATTCCAACCAGAAGCCCTTGGAAGCATTCATTGTTTGATACTCAGTCTCTCCTTACCAACATGGAGATATTGCTGACCATATCCTTGCACACTGCCTGTCGTGTAACAATATGTCCCCCTTGCATCTCTATTAGGTTAGTTCAATACAATACACATCATGTAAGCCGGAGCAGCCTCGTCCTACCCCGCTACTGCACGATGTGCACGATTATCGAAAATAGAAACAACAACACGCTAGAAGGGTGTTCGCATGCGCAGTGCATGCAGTTCGTTGCCCAGAAATAGGATTCCTACCTTGCCATCGATAAGGATGATAAGCAAACAAGGGAGGGGTTGTTATGATGTACAAAGGGCTATTTTGACAAACCCTTGCTGCAGTTTAATGTGCTAGAGAAAGTGTTGCTGGAGGAGTAGTAGTAGATGGTGGTGGGGTGATGGTTTTTTCGGGCGCTTATGCAGAGTGACGAGTTGACACTGGCGGGTGGGCACGTGGAAGACGGAAGGGAGATAGTTACCCTTGTTCGATGGGCGGTTGCGCTTGGATCGAGATTGTTCTTGGTGTTGGTCCAGTCGCAAGTGAGGGTGGATTTGGCAGTGTTCCATGCCAGGTTGAGAAAGCCAGAAATCCTGGAAGAAGATGTTTGCGCGACGTTCAGTTACATCGTACCCGTCATTCCTATGTCTCGTATTCATGTAGAACGGCAGTTTGCGTTGTTCAATGTGCAAGTGCCGCTGGAAAACTCATACATGCACACGCCTATCCGAGCTTACCTTCCAGCGCGCATTTCTACGGCATTTCTCAAAAGATCCCCAATCACGCTGAGGATAGAGCGCTTAATCTTCATTTTAGCAGCCCAAACCCACCCTCTCGCAAACAGAAAAGTGCAGCTGACCACACCCACGATTCAGAAGTTCTGACCTCTCATTCGTCAATGTAACAAGCCTGAACGCCAGAGAGCGGTATAGACGTGGCATGTCTCTGCCTCAAACCTTTTACCCCTCCACACCCCTCACCTTGTGCTTTTAGACGTAACACTACACAAGCTATCATCGGCCACTTCCGAAAATGAAGGTGACTTCTAACAGTCGAGATCTCGATGCTCGCACAGCATGAACAATGTCGCATTGACCGATTCATGCTGATCTTGTGACGGCATCTCCATCTACCAGCCATCTCGATTCTACTCCGGCTTCATCCAGGAAGTAACCCCACCCAGTTTGTGGTCAAAAACCTTGGAAGTTGCCAGACAGTGACATAGGCAAAGGCGGTTCACGCGGAGTGGCAGCGGGGTACAAGTGGATGTACCAAGTGGAGAGAAACTTGATCAAGTGGGTCTAGGCGGGGTTTAGTCTGGCTTTCGTCATGCCGCGGCTGCCAACATTCTCGCTTCGCTTCGGTTGCTTGATAGGAAGAAGGGAATAGGGGACCGGTTCATGCACGCTCGCACCGGCCATGTGTTTTGAAACACCGTAGTGTTGCTGGCCGATAGTGTGCGGTATATGTCAGGCTGCTGCATGAACTGCTGGTAGGTTTGTTAGTGAGCCGCAACCTGGACATCAGGTGTTCTGCGAGCATTGCACATGCACCCCAGATTCACCCTGCTGCAACGATGCGATTGGGGATCCAGACAAAGTGCTCGCCCATGGTGATGTGATGGGCTTGCCTGTTTAGCGGAATGATGTCGTATGGTTGCGTCGGAATGCGATCCGATGTGACGGAGAAAGGCCCAGATGCAGCAATGTTTGCTGGGTCGAGAAGGTCATCTGGAAGTCTTTCCCAGGGCGTTGAGGAGCGATCGCGTTTGGTACTTCGGAGTAGAGAATGCTACTCGTTCACTGGAGCGATTTCCACAAACGATCTGAGTACCACGCATTCAGCCGTGGAAGTATCACATCCAAAAGAAGTAAGATGCGATCCTCACCAATCAACACAATGCAACCCAACGCCGCTCGCTCAGCTCGTGACACCCACCGAAACCAAAAAGCCAAATAGCAGTAACTTAGCAGACGTCGTGGAAGCGATAGCCCTGGTTCCAGCCAACAGACCCCGTGAAACCTTCCTCCAACCTCCCGTCTTTGTCATACACCCACTCGCTCACACTACCCTTCCATCCGAACATCCCGACGACGTCTCTGTGCCTGTCGATCCCAAAACGCAGATGATGCCAATTCTGCTACTCATTCAAACTGTTGCCTAATCACCCATGTCAGGATGCCCTTGCACGTTGTAACTCGTATTAAGACCGGGGATGATGGGAATGCGACAAGGTTGCCTATCAAAGGAGCTCCCGTGCCCAGGGATGATGCGACGCCTCTTAATCTTGAGGGACTCTGCGCTAAGGAACGGATGGGATGGGTGGCGTGGAATTTTGCACAACGGGAAGGGAGGCTGATAACGTTGAGCCGCATATGTGGCCGCAATTAAGGGGCCTTTCATCATTGCGCTGCGTAACCCCCGAGCATGTTGCCTTGAAGGACTTAGAATTACTGCAATATCATCGGCGCATGCAATGTGCGCGAGCTGTAAGTAGCCATCCCAAAGCTCCGGACCTTACCACCCACAGCGCAGTCGTAAATAGCACTTTGTGCACTCTTCCCAAACCCAACCGTTCCTTTACACAGTGTGAGCATTGTCCTATTCCTACACCGGGCACGGTATGATATCAAGATAGCAAACCGCTGTCGTTCCGCTCGTCCAATCTCAAGGGTCAGGCCAGGCCCCAGGCGGCATGAACTCACATGCATGTCTTCGATTGGACATGTGAATCCTTCCCGCTCCGTGCTGCACAACCGCCACATTCAGCCATGGGGGCCAAAGAAGCAAAAAACATGCCTTGCCTGTTTGACTGAACCTGCAGCAGGCTTCTATGCACAGCGCTTCTTCTATGGTAAGGCTGAGAACAAGCCAAAACAGCCAATGAGGTCATGAAGATGGATGTGCAAGCGCCGGTTGGCTCAATACACGTGGTGGTGATGCAGCACAGGACTGTGACTCACAGTGCGACAGCGGCTCGGAGGGGCTGGAAACGTGTCAAAGAGGGTGTGCGAACATGTGAAATTGGTTGGAGACGCAAAAGCACATGTCCGAGACTGATCTGAGGTGCGATAGGGTTGGTTGTGTCTCAGATGCCATGTGTGGCTTGCTATGCAGGGGCCGTGGCTTTGGGAGATCGCCACCGTTGGAAACTTTGATAGTGTATGAGAAAAAGCGACGCATGTGGGTTTGATAGGCGAGTAGGATTGTGAATCACGTAGATTTTCGTCACATGGGGCAAGACAAAGTGAGCAGATGATTGAGTAATGTGTAATAAATTGATAGATAGCAATAGAGTGGTAAGTGGGTATAACTAGTTTTGACCGTGAGGTACCGATCTTTCTGATGAAATATCCGTAGAAATCTCCCAAATCTAGTGGACCAACCCAGAAGACAAAGTGTAGTGGTATCCCAGTACCCCAAAAATGACAACCTGAACACCATGCGTAACCATTCCAAACAGCAAAGTAACAATAGTTGGCTAGAAAAACAATACAAATAAGAAGGGGGATATCATAGTAGAAAGCAGACTTTTTCCTGTGACCCGCCCGATGCGTGAGAAAACCCAGTGTTGTACATTGTAAACGTGCAAAGCAAAGAAAGTGCAGCAGGATTAACAATTACGAAATGCAAGAAAGGGTATCTCGCGGTAACATCAAATAATGCGCAAAGCAATGACGGGAATGGAAAAGGGTATACCGAGACAGAGAACGCCAGCGCCAAAGCGTCTAGGTGTGAAAGGTAGAAGATCCTAAGCAGATGGGTATCGAAGGATGTCCTCGCAGTTGGCATCGAAGCGCATAGACCAGAGACGCATTCCAGTCATGAGCTTCTCGGTCTTCTCAAGTTCTCGGTCGCGACCGAAGATGGATTCGACAAACTCCTTGCCGCTGTTCTTGCCCATGGAAACGGGCTTCTCTTTGCCGCTCTCCTTCTTAGCGGCCTTCCACATGTAGTCTTCGCACACCTTGAGGAGCTTGGCGAAGCGGACCCACAGGCGTTCGCCACTCTCTAGGAAGTCTTCGACCATTTCGTGGTTCTCCTTCTTGCGGATCTTGGGCATGGTCTCGTCAGCCCTCTTGACTTTGCCGGCGAGTTGGATGAGCAGGAGCCAAAGCTCACCTGCCATCTCGGCGAGTGGGGTTGCGGGGCCATAGTGGAAGACGGTCCAGTCGTAGATCCATTTGCCAAGGGAGTTGGCATCGAAAACGGAACCTAAAAGCATAATGGGCTCCTCAGTGGGATCCCAGTTCTTGTACGAGTAGCCGGCGGGAATGCCAGCGCGGCGCGCATCTTCTTCGGTGGCCTTGGGGGCGGACTTGGCTGCTGGCGCAGGCTTCTTCGGTGAGGCAGCTGGCTGTCGTGTGGAGGCTGCAGAGGCGCGTCGTTGACGGCTTGGCTTAGGCTCTGGCTCATAAATAGGGACCTGATCATAGTAATAGTGATCAGCATCCCTCCCGTACATGTCGTGGCGCGCATACTGCTCGTATGGCGGTGGTGGGTAGTCGTGAATGTCGTAGTCGCATTCGTAGCCGTAGCCTCGGTCGTCGTAGACAACTTTGGTGTAGACGTGACGTGCCGACTGCGACGGACGACGCTTCCTCTCGCGATTGCTGCGCTTGAGAGGCGGGACGTCTGTGTCGCGGCGATGCCGACTTGTTGGAATATTGTAACCGAAATAACTTACATATTCAGGGGTGCCTCTCGGCGTCGCGTATGTGCGCGGGTCTGCAGCGCCATACTGAGGCATGGCCCCTCCGCGAGGTGAGGGAGCGTAGGAGCTCTGGTACTGTGGCGGCACGGCGTGCGAAGCCCGTCGAGAGTGGGCCTGAACCTTGGGGCTCGCTCGTGGGGTAGCCATCTGGGGCGCGTGTCGTGGAGAGTAGTAGCTGGTGCCGGGACCGGGAGACATTGGCGGCGTGGTGCGGAAATGGTCGTAGGGCATGTAGCCCGGGGGAGGAGTCGGATACTGTGGTGCGTACATTTTGGTGGATGTCGCAGTGCGTGTGTGGGTGGTTGTTGTTTAGGTGCGTATACGGTTCGGTGGGGAAGGAGCCCAGGCCGGTGCCTGCTTCACCTTGGAATATGCAAACCGAACGAGGGTCTTCGCGGGCGTTGGGAGCGGGCGGATGTGGATGTGGAAGCAGCGACGGAGGGGAGAGAAAGGGAAATCCGGCTCTGTCTACTGCACATTGGGTTTCGAGTCGAGAAGTTACTAGAGGGTGCCAGAAGGATCCAGAGTATGGGATCCTAATCGAAGTAGACGTTGACGTCTAAAATGCTTGGTAATGTGTGGTGATGATGCTCGAGTGCGCAAAAGAGGAAGCGACGGCGGGCTGCGCCTGCTTTTGAGACCGAGCCCGCTTTCGTCGCTGTAGCCGTGCGCGGACCACAGTGCCCATCCACCCTAACGCAGCCCCCTGTCGCGCCATGCACCCACTAGAAGCTGCCCAAGGGACCCCGGCTGTTAGCATACCCTCATCTACGGGTCAGATTGACCATGCTGTGCCTCCTGCCCATATTGCCCACGAGTATTCTGGGAAGCTAGCCCCGAACCCTACTGCCTGTCCAGCCGCCTCTGACTCTGAGCACTCGCGCGCTGAGTCCGACCAGAAACAGAGGCGTTGGGGGAGGCCATTCACTCTCCGCACGCCCATGCTTGATGCCTGACGGCGGGCATTGCGCGCCCAGCCTGTTTTATATTTGTTCTGTTTTGGGTGTGTAATATTGGAAACACATGTTGCCCGCTATATGCCCGTAATCCTCGACACCATCGTAAAATGCCCCTTCGAGCATGGCTAGCGTAAGCAACCACGACAGAGTACTCCCTTCATTTGCTGTGCCACATGCTGTGCAGCATCGCCTTGCATTCAGCTGTCACCGTTTTCAGCGTGTTTCGTTTGCTGCTGAACTCTCTTCAAACGGCCCTCCTTGCAGCCAACAAAGCTCCACTCCACCCTTTCATCCTCCATATCCGTCGTTGGGCAGGACTCGCGGCTCGCTACAGCGCGGATGCAATAACACGGCCCATTCTGCCTGTGCTTCCTCCTACTGCGAGCACATGCTGCCACCGGCGCAGAACCCTCCCACACGGGCGTCGTACGCTGCCAATCCTGCCGTGACCGACCAGCTACCGGGCGACATATAGTCTTTGTTGATCGCCAAACATGACCTCAACGTTGCTTTGAGCTCGCGACCATTTCCATACCTACCCCATTCGTAAACTACCTTTCGCCTAGCACAAACGCTACAATGGCCCATCGTCGCGGCACACGGCTGGTTTTGGCTGGAGTACTTCCATCCGAAACAGCGGCAGGTCCACCATTCAACGTCGTCCCGCGTCGCTTGGGACCGATTATCACTGCTAGGGAGGCCCTGTCGTCTGCTGAGAGCCGCACTCTATCGCTCGGATCCCTTCTCGAACTTCCCTCTGATCACTGTACGAAGCTAATTTCCCGCCCGTGAAAATTTTTCGAATGTCTCACAGCTTATCCAAGTTGCTGGCCTGGGGGTGCGTCGTTGTTTACCGCTACTTCGAATGTCTGCAGTCGTCTTCCAAGGCATATGGTACTGTCGATGAAAGGCCCACTTACGGCTGCATATCGCTGCACCGGCGCCGTTTTGATTCGATGAAAACTATCAACAACAAAGTAACTTGTCGCGGTTACATGGTTTTATCTCCCCGCTCGCAGCTACTACGGCTCGATAAAGCAAGTTCGCAGCGCAAGTACCTCGCACATTGAATTTGACTGGCTCCGGCGGAACGCCTGTATCCGTGCTGTGCATGAATACCTGCGCCTTGGTCGCATACAGTCTGGTATCTCCCGTCAACACGCTCCTTGTAATCTCTCGGCACACAGTTCTCATTTGTATTTTGACCCCGATGCCCGGCCCTTATTGGACTACTTCGGGCCTTGTCGCTGTGGCTCATCGGGTTCGCCTTCCTACCGAGCTTCCCACAATGATTTCTCAAGGTGTCAAAATTCCAGGTACCCACTTTGCTATCAGACAACTCACCTTGCGTAATCCTTCGCACCCACCAACATCATGCGTTGCTATGACTCCCCATGACCTGCAGAACTGTTTACTCCGCGCCCGCATGCTACTATCGTCATGGACTGATATCAGAATGAGGCTTCTTCACCAAGTGGACCTTTGCAACACTAAGCGCCCATGATTCTATACACCTGTCCTCAAGACGACACTAGGACGACACAAACGCGCAGCGGGATGGAGGCAACTGCGATACCCATGGATGCTAACCAGAATCGCTATGACGCATCGCACAGGTTTGCGCAGCCCTATCGAGTGCAGGCTCACGACCGCTGCGCTGCGGATTCGTCGGACGACCACATTAGTCTGCCACGACTGCAAGCTGCGCAGCTGTCGTCGACATGCGAGCGGTCTAGCTGCATGACGCACCTCCTAAAATAATTCATCCGGGCCCAACGATTCGCTCTTGTATTGCAAATTCAATACATCCTAATTGTAAGTATTCCGCAGACTCGACCATGTGTGGCGGTGCACGCGCTTGGCATGGACGCTCCGAGTCACATGCACAAGAATGATATGCGTTGCAGGGATTTCATAAGCGAAACGTCGGTTTCCCCTGTGGCGCAAGGTCGCCTCAACAGTCAACATCACGGACGTCGGACGAATGATTACAAGCAACACGCAATACGCTTGTCACTGATCACTATCAGGGTCCGCAGTCGTTCACGATTGGGCTCGTGTCCGATGGCAAACATTACCGTCTCAATCCGCTTCGTCTTACATTTTATCGCCATCGATCGGCCAGGTCACCGCCGGCCTTACTGCTGCTCCGATTTGACCGCTTCAGTCAAGCTGTTGCGAAGCGAATAATTGAAACACTTAGCGACTCTTGCCACTCGGACAATGGCCCTCCCATTGAAACAGCTCGAATCGATTAGTTCACGACTTCAGCTACTCCATCTTGTAAATGCCGTCGAAATATTCGCCACACACATTTACATTTCCATAGATCACGCGCTTCCGCAGCCGCCCGCTCATCGAAAAAGCATCACTTCAGCGGTGAGTCATGGTATAGGGAAGAAGCCTGTGTGTTTAGCGAGCCACATGGAGGCCAGGCTTCTCCCAGCAACTTCATGCATTGACGAGCAGTTTAGACAGGTGGATCTCGTCCTGCGTCATAGCTTTCGCCCACCGCCATATTTACTTTCCAGCAAGGTTGAAGCATGGATGGTGCATGAGGCTCTTCGAGTTGCCAGTCCCAAACCGATATCGTCCGTTGAATGCGTGCGTCGTTCAGGCAACGAGTACGAGTACCGATCAGCGTGTTGAATTATCGGTATTTTGCGTCGGTGAGAAGGTCCTTCGTCTCCGCCTTCCGTCCGCTGGTATCGTGAGGCGGCGTTTCCACTCACATGCGTTACTGTCGCCAATCATTGTAGAATTCGCCATGACTGCGGAGGGCGATTTACTAACTCTCCAATCGCTACGCAGAATCGCAGATGCGCCACCGGGACTCATGATCTCCACCACCGTCTTGCCGACCTCTAGGACGCGTATAACGGTCTTGTTTCCTTTTGCGGCAGCCGGACGGGAAGAAAAGGACAGTGCTTCAGCTCTACTGTACCTGCTGCCTAGAGGCTATCTCAACCACGAGCACTGCGGATGACGAGGCTTTCGACGATCACGATACTTCGGATAGGCTAATTGAAACGTTTAGTCACGTCTACCATACAGTAGGACGATCTGCACGGACATTATGTATGCTGCATGCATGCAGAACCGTCAAAAAGAGCCGCGGAAGGGTGTTGAGTTGCCACGAAAAGCATCCATAGACTACCTTTAGTGTTTGGTACCTGACGATGTACAGGTACTCACTGCGCCGATGACCGTTCCGAGGGGCACTCGGTACCGGAGAAGAGGGGAAAGGCGCTATCCGATGCTGGTATATGCGATTATACTTCAAGCTGAGTACCCGCCGACATACGGGCCTTTCTGGGCGGACTAGACCTGTCGCGTGAGATGATTGATATACGCTTATGTACTGCATCGCGAGTCAAGGTTTCATGTCCGATCATTGGTGGTGTACTGAATCTTTCTCTTTGCTTGTTGCTTCACTTTTACAATCAAACACTTTTCGTCTCAAGCCTTGCTTCCTACCTGCCCTATGACTAGGGTGATCACAGTCGGTGAAGATCAAATTTTCTCTTCATGCCATGGGACGTCTGCATTCTATTGAAAATTGGTCCGTGACAGTAACACTACGAGGTGGCACTTTCTAATATGGAATAGGCCTTTCGGATTTGCATTGTGTATATTGATTACGCCTCATTTATGGTAACTCGTTGAAGGCCTCTTGGCGATTGGGAGAGTTCCGCAGGTCTCCTTCTCCCAAGACCGCCATACAGCCGTAGTAGTGCAACTTTCTTGATAGGAAAGCTCTCTCGTATCTTGTCTACGTAAGGTCAGGTAAATGCTTAGGCTTTCCTTACTCTTTGAGTCTTTTGGTATGCTCAGAGCGCCATGAGCTTAGGAAGCAGCATGCACATGTGCTATGCTGGATTTTCGCATAGATTTCCAGCAACCACAACATCGTTTCTGGTTCCAGTGGATGAAATGTCTCTTGTTTCTTCGAGTCGAACTAAAACTTCTGGAAGGAGCTCCTTTGTCACTGTTGTTATGCGAAGTAGCGCCTGTTCCGTTGGCATTAAGCCACATTGAGGACTCTCACGTGAGGGTGGGGCAACCTCAGAATACCTCCAAGGCTGAGAGTCCAAGTTATCAGCTTACCAGAAACCTGCGCAATACGCACTGCAATTCCTTGTTTGCTATCCTTCTGCCCTTTCTGGCACCTTTCGGCATGTGATCAGTCGCAATGTCGTGTCGCTCCCAAAGCGACGCTTACAAGTCAGCGTTGACTGAACGTTTCACTGATATCACGGAGTCAAAGCTTCTTGACATCCGCAATCTTGAAGTGTTCAAGCACCAACCACTTCAGGACCCTAGTACAGAACTCCGGTATCTATACCTGCTTCCAAGAACGCACAACATCGATATCGACGGACAAACAGTAGTTCGCTGCGAGCTTCTCTCCGATGCTGACGAGCAAGGACCCTCTTATGCTGGCTTGTCATACGCTTGGGGTGATGCTCAGATTCGGCGTCCCATGCTAGTTGGTGATAAGGTCTTTCATGCTACTGAGAACCTTGCTGTGGCTTTGGAGCATCTGCAAGAAGAGGACAAGACTATCACATTCTGGATAGACGCTATCTGTATCGACCAGAGCAACTCGAACGAGAAGAGCGTACAGGTACAGAGGATGGGTGATATCTTTGCATCTGCCGTTGTGGTTCTTGCATGGATCGGTCCTGCAGCAGACGACAGCGATCTAGCTCTGCAAAAGTTGGAGAGATTTGACGAAGACTGCTCATCATGTGGATGGCTGTCATACGAACATGGTGAACTATTTGCAGCTCTACCCTCTGTATCGATCAAAGCTCTTTGTGCTCGCCCGTGGTTCAAGCGTGTTTGGGTTGGACAGGAAGTAGCTCTGAATGAACAAGTCATATTCGTCTGCGGTCAGCGCGATATCCACCGGAGGCAGCTAGTCGATTCCGCCTTGATATATTGGGCAACCTCGGCTGCGTTGAGAGGCGACAGTTCCTCTTCACATTACACTCGGTTTCAGCATACAAAACCCCTTCCTTTCCACGAATTTCTCAACCATGATGATGCCAGCATCTCCTTCGGAACTGGTAGCGAACTGGAGTCTTCGGATCCAAGAGACTTTGTCTACAGTTCATTTGGGCGGATCAACGACATTGAAGAGTGTGCACTTCACGTTGATTACACTAAGTCAGTTGAGGAGGTATACACGGAATTTGCTGAAGCTATTATACGCGCTGGACAGATCGACTTGTTCGAAGATGCTTGGCGTCCGTCTTCAACTTACAGAAACCTCCCGTCGTGGGTTCCCGATTGGTCCGAGACATCCATGTGTGGTATTCTTGAAAATTCTTTGGTATTAAAATATGATATCGCAGAGATCTGTGAGATTGAAAGAGGTGGCAAAGCTTTAAGAATTTCTGCTCAACGTAGTGTTCGGGTTAGTTGTATCGAGAACGGCTTGCAGCTTCAGCAAGGCGTTCTTGGTCTCAATGTGTCAGAGTCAGCTTCCATCAACTTACAAGAGGAAGAAGAAGTTATATCTTTCTTAAACATGATTCAAGGAGCTCTTGGTCGCAAAAACCGATGGTGCTCTGAAGAAGTGGACAAAACACTTTTCAACTTGTCGACTAGTATGTCATTTGCTAGATACATGATCAGAGATAACGAACAACTGCTCAACAACCTGTACATCTCATACCAGGTCTTTCGAGGCCTCGTAACTCCTCCTGACGATATTCCGGACCCCCAATCATGGCGAAAAGACGCGAGCTATGCCTATCTCAACAGTCTTCGGAGTTCGAACATCAAGAACTTCTTTATGACATCCCAAGATATCGTTGGTGTCAGTCGGGATGACGTGCAACCTGGTGACTGGGTGTGCGTACTCGGAGGTATGCAAGGGGTATGGGTCCTCCGTGAGACAGGGGACGGTCATTATCGCATCGTTAGTGTCGCCGAAGGCTTTCCTTGGGAAGATATCAAGAACAATGACGCGCCAGTCGAAGTTCTTACTATAGTTTGAATTGTCCATTTATCCTTGTAACATGTTCTACTAGCGACTTCTTTTCCACTTGAATGACGTTATACAGCTGTCTTTGGCAACGATTTCTGTAGGTGGAGTTATCAAACCTTCCATGGTATCTTCTCGTTACAATCCCCAATGCGCGCAAGTTCCGAATGTGTACCATATTATGCAGATTGGACGAAATCATGCTACCAAGTTCCTCGATGCTGCATCAATGTCTGATTACGTTGGAGGGCAAGTACTTCTTCAGTGTGTGAAATGTCCTTGAAGTCTTCACAGAGAAACACACATATATATTCAAGTAGAAACACCCGAATTAACTCCACACAAAGTCTCTGGGCAGACAGGTCCAGTCCGGCTGAAACATCGGTGCTCGTTGTCTATATAGGCTCAACATGCTGCCCCTATACTCCTGACACACCTTAACGTCGCGTTTTGTGCCGCTAGTGGTAATCTGAATTGTTTTAGCCAGGTTAGCTTCTGATCTACATGTACAAAAATGAGTGACTCCAATCACTATCCCTACGGATTGAAGTATGGCAGAATTCATGGAAAACTAGAAATATGCGACCTGGATTCAGACACCCGACAGTACAGATCTGATAACATGTTAATTGTGGCACCCTTAACACTATACTAGGCTCCTAGATTCGCTTTCTGTTCATAACAGCACATAACTGTGTCTAGTTTCGAGCAGCATACTTCTTTTTTCGTATGCACGAGGCAACACATATGTCGCTACTGACCGTTTACCCATAAACTTCGTTCCTCAGTTGCCTTGCGTAGCTGTTCCGCAGTCCAATGCTTCTTGGTGCGTTGTTCAATATCTTGATTCTCTGCGCCCGCATTGTCACCTGCCACTTATTCCTCTTCCACGAGATCATTGACATTGATCTCCCTGCTCTCGACTTTCGTATGCATCACAGACACGTGTGCGCAGCGTCTTGTATGTGACTGCATATTCATAGTGTGGAAAGAAGTGAGTCCTCTGGTGAGATATAGCTGGATGATGATCCAATACTGTAGATGATACCGAGGACTTCAGAATACCGCCGTTGCGTTGACCGCTTGTTCTTTTTCGGAGTCGCTCCTAATCTCTGCACGAGTATCTCCCAGCTCAGTGATCATATTAATGATTCTCAGGAGGGAGCCTAGGTAGTAGCGGCGCTGTCACCTATTCGTAGGTAATCCTGTTGCTTCCCAGTAGAGGTCCGGAATACCATATACGCCCCAAGAGATTGGCGCGTAGAAGGTCTGTCGATATGACAGGAACCTCGGGAGGCTCATGTTGACGGACCTGCCTGTGCACCGTAGCCTCCCCTTGGTGCAAAGCCGCGCCCGCCACCTCTTGCAGGTCCTTGGGGTTGACGAACAGGCTTCTCTTGTGTATTTGGCGTAGACGGGCGACTGATTCCTGATTCTTTCTTCTGTATAAATACGGAGCCGGGCTTCGGAGTGTATGTAGGGTCGAAGAGTTGGCGCGCAGGAGCTGCCGTTCGTGCTGGGGATTGCTCATTGCTCGACCTAGGTTGACTATCCCTTCCACCGCGTCCACGGCCCTTGCCTCGTGTAGCCTTGTTGGGAGAGTTGCTGCGCGAGTCCTCTGCGGCGGAAGCAGCTGGTGAGCCAAAGATGCGCTCTCGTGCTTCTGCGTACTTGCGCTCCTTCTCCGCCCGCTCCTTTTGCGCACGTGCTTTGCGCTCTTCGAAGTCTGCTGCTGCCTTCTTCCGTCGCTCTTCTTCGCTGTCATCGTCATCAAGGCTCATACCAGCCATATTGCGGGAGAGGACTTGAGGGGTGGGCTTGCGTGCAAGCATCGTGACTTTTGGTTTGAAAGTTGCTGCTACAGGAGCAGGACGGACTTCAGGGTACCATTGAGGCTCTGGGTTCTCGCTGTTCAAGCTAGTTAGACGTTGTGTCTGCGACTAGAGATTGGCAACCTACGCGGCCTGCCAGAGCTGCTTGTTGAGTTCAGCATGCTGAGCCTTGAGCTGCGCTTTTGTGAGTTTCGGCTTTGGCTGCTCTTCTGCAGGCTTCTCGTCCTCTTTCTACAAGGTATAAGCGGTTGCTTTCAGGAGAGAGGGGCACATGTACATCAGCGAGCGATTCCCAATCGTCGTCCCAGGCGTCGGCGAGTGTGTTCTTGGGCGGCATATTGGGCAAGTGTTTTTTCGGTCGACTGTAAAGAGGGGTTTCGTCCAAAAGGTCAAGTCGCGTGAAAGAGTTGTGTCCCACAGGTATGATGTCGCCAATATTTCGAAGGGTCCCCACCTTGACCCCTGCGGCGGGCCGCGATTAGCTCCACGCCTATGTCATTCACTGTTGCCTTCTACAGCGAGCAACAACCCGCGTCGCAAACGCATTTACTGCCGCTATCACGCCGCGAATACCCCCGTAAAGCTCGCAAACATGTCGGGTAAGTCACGTCCCCGCGTCAACCACCCGCCATGGCCTCCAAACGACAGCGCACTTACCTGACGCCCCTCTCAGACCGCGACGGCGACTCCACCATGCAATCGTCCCCCACTAATGCTGCCTCGGACGATGAAATGTTCCCTGACGAAGCTCTCCCAAACAATCCAGCCACACCCCACAACTCCAATCTCGCAGGCGTAAACGAAATCTCACCACCAAACTCACAACCTACAACCCGCGAGACCCTCGGCGTCAACTCAAACGGAAAGCGTCCACTGTCTACCGGAATGACGCAAGCAGCTACGAGCAACGGCACGGGTGGAAGCGGTACCCACCAGGATGCTGAGACAGGTTACCAGTGGAGCAAGCAGGAGGACCAGCCGGGCTTTGAGTGGAAGAACACTAGGGCGCGCGAGGAAGAGGCTAGGGCACTGGACAACATTGTCGACAAGAGCAACATGGTTAGATGTGAGTATGTTCTATTCGGCTGCCAACAAGTCTGCTAACGAGTGGAAAGTGCGTTACGGTGATCCGCTCGATTCCAGCATACCCCCAAAGACGAAGCGCTGAAGGTGGCATACAAACATGCTCTTGAGGAGCACAGAAGCATCCACGTAAAGGACTATAACCACGACAGGAGTTGCGTAATGCATATGGTATCATGATTGCAAGATGCGCGCGACGTCCAGGCAATCCGACACTATGAGCCTCACAGAGACGTAGAGTGCAATAACTTCATACATTGAGACAATCTATGGGCTTAGGTAGCTCCAGCATAGTGTCTCCAGAAACACAGCACATTCAATTCAAATTCTTGACTGATCTGCTCTGAACCAATGCTTCAGACCCCTCCCATCCTGAACGCCGTCCCATGCAGTGATATCTTTCCAGCCATACGAGACACGTCTGACTTCTCAGTCGCTCTCATTCCCGTCGTCGTCATCGTCGTCGTCCTTGTTGGCCTCCTTCTCCTCAAGCGGATCTTCTGTCAATTCCTCTCCGACAACCTCCTCCTCGATTTCGTCATCCTCGACTTCCTCGTCCTCCACGTCTTGTGTCTCGTCCACCTCCTCTTCAGTGACATCTCCCTCACCCGCATCTCCACTCTCCCGTCTGGCCCTCTTCGTCGCCCTCTCACCACCATCATCCGCACCCTCCATTGTCACGTCTCCACTTTCCGCTGACTTCGCAGGAGTCGAAGTAGCAACCTCGGCGGTACCATTCGTGGCTTTCTTCTCTTCACGCACCTTCTTCCTGTACGTATTCCGCTTATCGGCTTGTATCGACGTGAATTTGGTGACTTCGGCCTCGAGGCGAGGGAGAAAGGACGCGAATTCCAGCTCTGTCATTGCATCGAACACATCTTTCGGCATGACGGTTTTCTTGCCGCTGGCGAGTGCTTTTTCCGCGGCGCTGGACAACTGTTAGCGAAAGTCTATTTGTTGCAATCCGCATACATCTGGCGTATGATAGATTTTTAGGGGTCGTACGCTGATGTGATGTAGTTGACAAACACAGTTGCGGACTTGCTCATAGCAAGGAGCGCATCTTTTTGTATTTGGGTATTCGGTGGCAGAACACCTTTGGCCAGGCGCTGGACTATAGACTTTGGCAGATTCAGGTCCTGCAATCGCATTGTTAGCCATATTGTAGTCCAACACGCTTTCGAGGAATGCGACAAACCTCGACACCCAAGCTCTCCTCTCTCGGTACTGATCTAGGCGGTGCGGGACTCTCTTCGTTTGACACCGCCGATACATTGCTCTTCCTCGGCGGCATAGTTTGGTGTGGTTACGGACGTTTGAGTATGGAAGCAGCGTCGTTCGAATAGTAGAAGATGCGATTGCGGGATGGGTTCACTAGGGAGTGGTGGGCGTAAGGGTGATGGCCTCGTAGATAGTTTTAGTGGACCCTGACGCGTGAGCACGCGTTGAGGTCTGGGCGCGATTTTGGTAACCAAAAGACGGAGATTGTCCTACGTCACGAATATTACAACTACTATCACATCGCGCATAATGAAGAATATGTTATGTGTGCTAGCATGTTTATCTTGTGTAGTCTGTAAATTCAGACTTTGGCACAAGTTAGACCTCTGCCGGAAATGAACTTTCGCGAAGTGTAGATACAAATCTCGTAACATATAGTAAGCGTGGAAACATCCTCTCTGGAGCCTCATGCTATCAACTACTAAACGTAAAGAGAGAAAGTCACAGTTCGAACATGCTGACGCTATTCGTTTCGAGAGATATCATCTGGCTCACAGTTGGAATTGTCCTTCCGTTCGCCTTTAAGGGACTAGGTCTGAAAGGACAGTGAATTTACAGCAGAGTGTTCTCACCTCTGGTATTCAGATGCGATTTGACTTCTCATTTCAAAGATAGGTCCGGTGTTCCTTGTGGCACGATCTTGTGATTCTCAAGACCATTGCAAGCATCAGTGCAAAGAGGCGCTTTCGGATGGCACCGACCCTTATCGATATCTCGCCACGTGCCCGCCCTGGCGCAATCTGCCCAAGCACCCCACTGAACTAGAACCTGGAGCGATCCTTCCTCTGCATCTTCATCTACAACAACTTGACACTGTCAACGTATTTGGTTCCATCTCGTCTACTTCGCATCCACCAGATACTGACTGTCTTATACTTGATTCACCGCCCTTGTGAAGCTGTGAGGCGAAGCGGACTACAAACCTGCTTTCCGAGACGTGGGCACATGGACTCTCGTTCTCCCCGAGCAGCTCTGGCAAGTCGGTCCGCCAATCGTCGGCTTGTGGAGGGCCAAGGACCTTTTGAGCGTATCCAGTCTCGAAGCGAGCACCAACCGGGCGCCGTTGCTGAATGTGGCACGCCTCCAGCGGACACCCCGCGTGCTATCCATTTCACTCGTTGCCCTGAATTTTTGACACGTTAATGACTCACAATAGCTCAATGCAGTACGCGTTGCTAACAGATCACTCCAACTCCAGATCTTGCATCGCGGAGAATATGTGGATACACACATTCCTCTGATCCCATATCGACGGTTCTGCTACAGAGTCTAGCGGGGCGGATCTGGGGTATCAGTGTGGCTGAATCCAGACTACCAGCCAAGAAGTCGTGGTCTCCTTGGCTGCATCCCGCTGTTCAGCACTCTGCGGAAGAATGGCGACAAAAAGCTTTTGGGCAGTTGGGCCTCTAAAGACTATGCGACGCATGCTGGGTAATTCACGGAAGATCATGATCAGGAAAGGGATGAAACAGGTAGCTTGGTGCACGATTACGCCTACCACGAACATCCCTTCCTTACAAGGCCTGACAGCACAACACTAACAGGACATCATGCCTTCAACCCAACTGCTTCATGGTAGACCCTTGGCAGCAAGATGACGTTCGAATTGGCAAGGCGCGCGCAAAGCCAACGGTAAGCAACATATATGCCCAATATCCAAATGCACTCAGCCTCCCTTCTAAAGCGGATTCGTCCTTTCACCTTCCGTTATCCATATCTCAGTTGCATGCCCAGCAAATCCTCTCATCCTTGGCATAACTCTTACCCCGGCAAACGTTCTCCTAGTCCGGTCTGCACCGATAACCGCGTGCCTGGAACCTCCGCGAATCATCGTTACCTATTCACACGCTCTTAAGCCTTGCAAGGTCCCTGCATTGCTGATCGTCCCTCTTCTTCTCACCAAAAATGACGGTGCCAGCTTTGAGGATCGTTGTTGACGGCGATAGCAATAGGGTATATCGAAGGGGAGACAAGGTTACTGGAAAGATCTCCCTGGCAATAGAAGAGGAGGCAGAAATTGAGTCGCTGAAAGTTATCTTTGCTGGCAGTTGTGTCACCAAAACGTCCCGGCCTTTACATGTGAATACGAAAACCGACCCTCCTGCGCAAAGACACGACTACGAAGAGAAGATTCGACTGTTCAACCGCGAGAAAGAGCTAGTTTCTTGCCGCACTCTTGGGCCGAGGAAGTACTCATGGGACTTTGAGTTTGTCTTTCCAGAGTCTACTGAACCACACTACAAACGGATGGCACATGGCTCTAACTATCTTCGAGAGCCACACCCACTTCCGCCCTCGTTCCACCTCAAGACCAGTGTTCCAGGTGGCGCAGCCCAGATATCATATTTTGTCCAAGCCAGACTTATCATTAGTGGCTCGATGGATACCAAGAGGTGCAAGTATACACTGCGATACCATCCAAGATCGGAAGTCGACGTGCCACAACGAGCGAAAGCTACATCTTCTGTACTCTATACTCAAGCATGGAAGCCACACAAAGAGAAAGAAGAATCGCGGGTTAAGAAAGTGTTCTCCGGTGTCTCTATGAATTCGACACCTCGGATCATTCCCACATTGTTTCATCCCGAGAAAGTTGCTCCTGGACAGCACATGCCGTTGTCGCTCAGCCTACTGAACGCACGAGATCCTGCCAATCATGCTGAACGGGAATGCATCATCGACTCCTTGACAGTCACCATCTCGACGTACTCTACAACGATGTGCGGCCACACAATAATGGATCCCGAGGACGTTGTATCGAAGCACATCACCTGCATATCGCGAACCAGCATGAACAGACCGATCCCATTCAACAAAACGACAACTCTGACGTCCAACTTTCGTCTCATCGACGACACGGAGTGTGTTCCGACCTTCAAAACATATTCGATCACCCGACGGTACGTACTTGGTATATCCATCGGTATCAAATACAATGATCAACACTTCACCATCCGTTCCAACACGGCACTGGAGATTCTACCTCGCATACCCCGCGACCGCTCGCTATCATTGCAACTAGAAGACGGCGAAGACTTTGAGCCACTTCCGCAGTACACGCCAAGAGAGCCGTCGCGAGAGTTTGCTCCAGATTACGAATCTCTGTACGCTCTGTCACCGGTTGGGTCAAGAAGCTCAAGCCTGTTTTCTGGAGGATCAACACCAAGTTCTGCGGCGTCAACACCCCAGACTGAAATTGAGCAGCCGAATTACGAAAGAGTTATAGTGTAGGGCGTTGTCGAGATGTGGGTTCAGGTGGGGCGAAAATTTTCCTTTCGCGTTTGCACCTACCTTACTTTGTGGGTACCTTTACCTCACGATATCTCATACTTTGAGCTGAGCGTACTAGAAATATTTCATATCGTCAAAGAACCGAAATTTCTCATATTATATGGTTTGCTAAATCCAGTCACTCCATCAACAACGGTTCGGTGGTGTAGTTGGTTATCACGTCAGTCTAACAACGACAGTTGTTTCTAACACTGAAGGTCCCGAGTTCAAACCTCGGCTGAATCAACCGTGTCTCTCATCAGAGAGTAATTTCTTTTTGCGCTCGTGTGGGCGATAGTGCTCTGGGGTGGGAATGGCACACTGTTATCGACAAGAAGCGGACATGTCCCGTGCTCGAATGTCGCCTCTACTCTAGCTGTGAGCGACAGTTATTTTTGTTCCGTCTAGTAACTGGCATGAAAATCACTTACGAAGAATAAGAGTCGTGGCGGACACATCTGATCAAGTGACAAGTTATTCAAAAAAGAACTGGCCGTAACCTTTCCATATGTAGGAGCGATGCGTCTATACTCTAAATTTGTTTATATGCAGTGATCAAGCTATACCAACGACTTTTCTCCCGCCGTCTATGTTCAACTCATCCTCACGCCTCAAGATCAGTCTCCGCCTAGTCTAAATCTAGCACATAAGGTCGAACTTCTTCTGGCGGTCCGCAGTCATGGCACCCCAGGCAGTCTCGTCAGCAGCCTTTCCATTGTCACCAATGGAAGCTGGCTTCCAGGGCTCGTCGAAAGCCTCAAAGTAGAAGCCGTTGAAACCCCAGTCGAGCAGCGAGCAGAAACCGTGCTGGTAGAAGTGCTTAGCGTTGTCCAGTCCACCCTTCGCAGCGTCGTAGTCGGTGCCAACAGCCGTGGGCCAGCCGGTCTCGCCGTTCCAGATCTCAGGGGCCTTGGAGCGGCCTCCAGCGACCTTCTCGATGTGGGCGGTGGCTTGGTACATGTCGTCAAGGTAGACGTGACTGCAAGAGTGTTAATCTGTGTTTATCCTTCAAGGTGTGCTTGACTAAAGGATTGTACGTACGTAGCGTTCTCACGGCTGGCACCCTGCCAGAAAGCAAAGGCGTTAACCATGATGATGTCGGCAGTGCCAATGATGGCATCACCAGTTCCGTCGGCAAACTTGTTCCATGAGTCTGCAGTTCCGACCTTGATGCCTGAGGGCAGCTTGTCCTTGACAGTCTTGATCTTGCCGGCGAGCTCCTCACCAGTGAAGTTTCCACGGTAGAGGGTCTCAGAGCCGACGGTTACTGCGTAGATGGTATCGGTGTATTGCTGGGCAACGTCGGTAATGGCCTTAAGGTCCTTCTGGAAGGATTCCTCGACATCGGGCCTGTGGCACCATGTGTTAGCAAACTTGATTCTGAATCGTCGTTCGTAGGAGCATGAAGCTTACCAGATACCCAGAACAACCTTGAAGCCGGCTGACTTGGCAGCCGGGAGGGCGTTCTTAGCCATGTCGCAGTCCGAGGCAGCGTAACCACGAACAATGGTTGAGCCAGAGTTCGACTTGATCATCTTGAAGTCGTCGGAGTAATCCTGCTGGGTCTTGCATGCTCCGCTTCCCATCTTCGTTCCGAGGGCGAATCCCATCTTGCCCTTCTCAGCAGCCGAGACGACGGCGGGGGCAGCTGCAAGCGCAGCAGCAACAATGGAGAAACGCATCTTCGCTTATAGTAATGCTTCGAGGAGGATATACGGTGGTGTTGGTAATGACGGATCGATGCGGGAAAGAGAGCTTCAATATGGTACAAAGCTGTCCAAAGATAGAGCTGACGAGGCCAAATAGCCAATTATGCAAAAAGAATGAGTGTATGAACTACTTCCAATAGAAGCAAAGGAATGACTGTGACGTAGAGTCGCGGAGATTGGATAGTGTAGTAAAGAAGAGGAAAAGAAAGGCCTTGGTGCCTGGGGTTTGAAGGGGAAGATCAAGGGGGGCGCGCAACCCACGCTAAACTTCAGAGTCCTGGTTTAGAAACAATGGGTCTCAGGAACACCAATCATAGCGGGTGACGCCACATGCTTGCACATGCTTAAGCTGATGGGAAGAGTGGGGCACCGGAGTTACGGCATGTGTTCTATGGGCGTCGAGAACACTGAGGACGTAACGTGGGTAGGAGGATTTGGCGGTGTTGTGCACGATGAGTGTTGTATGGATTCAGCTTGAGTTTAGCGATACAATATCTTTGTTTTTCTCGCCTACTCTAACGTCCCGCTCGCGTCTTGTTGCGATAGTTCACGCACTGGCAATCTCACCTGAAGCTCTTCACGTTAGCTGCAACCATAAGTATTGCGAGCCTGTTCGAGGAGCCGAGACAGCAACAAATTGTCTCAATACCAGATGCAAGTTTATATACATTTCGCCTACCCCCTGGATAACCGGAAAGGATGCGCTTCAGTATTCAACACAAAGTCATCCAAGCTAACCAAGCCCGTATCGGCGAAGCACAGGTAAAAGTACTTCAGGGTCTCTGCCATCCAGAAACTCTCCATGTAGTCCTCTTTCTTTGACCCAATGACAGAAACGTCCATGATCGCAGCATTCGCAAGCTCTGTGTCCGTTGCGTTGGCTACAGCTTCGAACATCTCCCATGCAGTCTCGCGCCAAACGGGATCGCCCGTGATGCGCCATAGTATAAAGACAGATTCAATGGCCTCGGGACGAAGGATATAGCGAGGGTCTTTAGCGGTGGTAAAACCTTTAGGAAGGTGGGACTTATACTGCGGTCGTGCAGCTGCTTCTACAGCATAGCGCTCTTCGTCATAAGCGCAGGATTTACGATGATCAGGGCCGGGGCATAGAACCATGTTATACCTTTCTGGCATGATACCAGTGGGAAAAGACTTGTAGGCGTATGCACATCCGCGAGCAAGCTTCGCTCCGGTTTCGAGATATTCTGCGTTGTCGAACAGCCGTCCACCGAGCGCGAAAAGACCACCGATGAAGCACGACAGATGCTCGCTTTCGGGGTCAAGACTGGGACCGTCCTCATGAACATCGACGTTGCCTGAGATCAGAATGTCCTCGTTCCCTGGTATCATAGGTGCGAAGAACAAGTTGTTCATCGCCGTATCCATGAAGGAGCGTGACATGGCCTCGTACTTGCTCGAGCTTAGCTCTGCAGACCCAAGCAGGGCATGCGCCTTTGGTAGATACTCATACAAGGAATCTGCATTCCCACCTATTGTGAACTGATAGCCCGAGACAACGTCTTTGGCGCGCATGGACACCATCATAGGCCACATGCCTGGCAGTTTCGTCTCCTTTTGACTCTCGGCGAACACATCCATCAGACTCGACACAGCAGCATAGTACTTGTCGTTTCCCGTGATCTGGCTCAGCCTGCTGAACTCCAGCGTGATGGTACCCGGACTTGCGCTAACCACTTGATTCTCGACGATCAACCCAGTGCCCTGCTTCGCATTTTCGAAGTTGATAAAGTCAACAGGCATGCCGTTCTTCGTGTTGAAGGCGCCATATAGCAGGTCGCCCACCTCGATCGCTTTCGCCTTCAGCACCTCATGTCCACTCAAGTCATATGCAGCAAGAAGCCCGCCCAGGTAGCGTATACACGTCTCGAAGGTGTTGACTGTCGGTGCCGTAGACATACCGAAATCAATGGTCGCAACAGCCTCGACAGCTTCGTAGAATTCGGTCCGCATCCCTAGCATCCAAAGTGTGTCGAGTGAGTCTACCAGTGTCGCAGCCCATCCAGAGAACTGGTCGACATACTGTCCACTTATCGGCTTCAGCGCATCCTTCATCCATGCCTTGCTCCTGTAGCTTGCCCAGCTCTTTGCAAACACTCGCTTCACCTCCAATCGTCTCTCCTCCTGTATGGCGTGTACATTGCTCGGGTCGGGCGTGAAGTTGTGTTGAATACGAGGACGTTTGGTGAAAGGTGAAGGAAGCTTGGGACCGAGTGGAAGCGGGTAGGTGAAGTTCACGGAACTCCAGTCGAAGCTACTCGGTGTTGCGAGGATGCGTGGGATTTGAGATGGATCATTCATGTAGCGCGCCAACGCGGCGGTAGAGCCGTGATCCGCGCCATGACGGGACGGGAAGGCTTCGTCCTTGGGAAGGAAGTAATAGATCCAACAAACAATGGAGACGCAGAGAGCGATATGTCGAGTGCGCACACGTGGCATTGCTGAAGCGCGCTCATAGACGGCAGCTACGAGCTAAAGAAGGAATACAGGCGCACTCCATCGCCGGATGCGATTGACGAGACGCGCGGGGGAAGGACCGATGAGACTTAGTATTGCGCAACGTGTTACGTGTCTAGAACAATGCTATGGGAAGGGTTTCTGATCCGGTATGCGTTGCCGGCGGCTTATGACGATCGCCGAGGTTGATCCATGCAACGGAGATCACCCAGAAGCATCCTAACGGTTAACAGCAGCTAGGGCGTCAAGTACGTCACAAGTAAGAAGCAACTTATCATGTTATGAATATTATTGAACTAAAATTGCCTACTGACAATAGGAGAGGGGTATACTATGCTGATGCCATGCGTCAAATCTAACAACTTTTTCGACCGTAAAAATGCTACAACAAAAACAGACATTTACTTCTTGCTACTCGCTCGGCTGTTGGCTCTCGGCCTGCCTGCGAAGCTTTCTCTTGTGTTGACGCGGTCGATGTCGAACGGATTTGGGTTGAAGTCGAGATCCCTCACAGTTCTCCGGCTTCTTGTCGAGCGCCCAGTCTGAACCTTCTTGAGACCCTCGCCATCGGTCTCCTTCTCAGCCTTCATCTCCTCGAACTTGGGCGCGGACTCTTCCTCGTGCATCTCCTCTTCGACTTCCTCTTGAGGAGTAAGAGTGGCGGCGCGCGAGGTATCCTCTGATTCGGTACCGGCGGCCTGTCGGGCTGCCTTCGCGGCATGTTGGTTGCGGATCTTCTCCATGAAGGCTTCTGATTGTGCGGCGTACTTGCACTTTTCGCGGATGGTCTTACCGTACTTGTAGAACAAGAACGGAAGCGGCAGACAAGCGACAGCTAGGAAAGCAGGTACGGATGAAGCCCAGTGGATACCAAGGCGGCTGTACATTTGCGAGGTGAAAAGAGGGAAAGCAGCACCGAAGACTGAACGAATGATACCGTTACCAGCCAAAACGGATGCAGCGAAGATCGTGTACGAGTCGATGAGATAGTTCATGATGGACAAGAAGATGAGAACCATGCCGAAACCGAATGGAATGGAGGCGACGACGCTGGCAGCCCATGGGAGAGTCGGAGAGTTGGTCCAGGCAAACCAGAAGAGGCCAATGGGAAGTGCGATACCACCGATGATGCACATGGGCAGACGTGCCTCGGGAGCAGCAAATCCACGACCGGACTCTTGGACCTTCCTCATGTACATCTTGTTGTCGACAGTAATAACGTATGTGATAGCAGACAAGACTCCAATGGCGACAGCGACGAACGGCAGACCGCTGATACCCTCGTTCCAGCCACGGCCAATACGGTAGACGATTGGGAAAGCACCGAAAAGCATGTAAAGGATACCGTAGATGATGGCGTGGTAAAGCGAAAGCAAAAGGACAATGGGCTCGCAGAAAAGCAGGATCCAGGGACGCTTGAGACCAGTCGCGAAAGCCTCTCCGAGCGAAACCTTGCCTTGGTCGATATCAGTACGGGATCGGTAAACCTTTCCGGAAATCTTTGAGAGCTTCTCAGCACGCTTCCTAAGCAGGACCGGGGCGTATGTCTCGGGAACGAGGCAGGTGGTGACAACGAGAATCACTCCGGCCCAGATAGCCATGAGACCGTTAACCCATCTCCAACCTTCAGTCATACCCAAGAATCCACCAATGATCGGACCAAGAACGGGACCCATGAATGGCGCCGCAGAGAAGATTGACATGGCAAGTCCACGCTCGTTTGCGGAGAACAGATCGGCAATAACACCTCCAGCGTTGGTGAGAGGACTGGAACCGAAAGCGGCGGCGAAGAATCGGAGAATAAGCAGGCCGTAGATTGTGGGCGCACCAGCAGCACCAGCGTTGAAAGCCATGAAAGCGGTATACGTTCCAATGAAGACAACCTGGCGACCGTACAATTCTGAGAAGGGAGCCCATAGAAGCGGTCCAAGAGCAAATCCGAGAACGAAGAGTGATACACCGAGTGTGACAACCTCTTGGCTGACGCTGAACTCAGCCATAATTTGTTGGATACCTAGAACATGTCAGACGTCATTCAGTATGCACTTTGATTTGTGCAGAACATACCTCCAGAGAAAGCTGATGAACAGAATGATACGACGAGAACCGAGTTGGCGACAGCAATGGCCATGATCCACTTCTTCGTCTTAGGCCAGGTCATTGGGTTCCTGGGGTCGTTGTCGATCCACTCCACCACATATGGATCTTCCTCAGTTCCCGCACCCTCGTAGTCGTAGTTGATGATCTCCTTGGTAACGACACCCTGGTCTGTGATCATCTTCCAATGAGAGATACCATCTCTTCCAGACTCGACGTCCATGTGGCTGCTATTGCTGTTTGCCGCAGAGTTTGCGGCAACCTCCTGGTCCTTCTCCATCGTAGTGTTGTTATCGTATCGGATTTGGCGTTGTGTGATAATTGATGTCTTCCGTCGAAGGAATAAGGAGCAAGGTGGCAGGGACGATGCCCAGTATTAATTAAAGAGTATCTAAAGTAAGGGAAAAGACGAAAGAGTTACGACACAATTAACCTTGGAAGAGAAAGCAGGACGATCACAGCGGGACACGCCACATATAAACAACCCAGGCACACGGTGGGCGGCGCACAAGTCATGCGATGCGGCGGTAAAGAACCCACTAGCAATGCGTGACAAGGACAAAACAGATCGGTCGACAAATGTTCTGGCTGCCCAACCAGCTGGATTCGTCCCTAATCCCGACTCGCAACGCTCCCAAATCCGCTTGCAACGTGCGACCCATGAGGCGATGACACCATGATCAAAAATCTTAAGTTTGCTCGGCCGAAGCGTCGCGCTATGCTTGAAACAGCGACGCCTCTGAAAAGCTTAACGCGCGGAACCAATCGAAATACTCCCTCGGACAGTAGGCGCCGAATTCGACAGGGGTTACGGAGATGGGAAAAGGTGCCGCTATGCATGTTGCAGATCGCGGACAGAGCGTCATAGGGCTTTGCAAGGTTATTGCAACGATCTCGAAGTGAAAATGTACCGAGATGCCGAGGTTACCTTGTGGATTCATTCCAGGGATATACTTAGCAAGTGAGATTTCTCGCTCGTTCCGCCGCCTCTAGTTAAAGTGCGGACGGTAGGCTGCTTGAGCGGAGGATCGGTCTCATACATGCAATCCAGGCACTTTACTCCACAACTTTCTTCAAAAGAGGAGGTTACGCGTGTTCTTGGTGTGGAGATGAGGATGATTACTTGTCTACGGTGTACCGTGTAGGATGAGCAATCATCATGAATAGCTGCTTAACTCCATCATCATAGCCGAGGTGCAAGAGGCGACTGAAACTTCGTTGCGAGCGTATGCATACGAGACTCATCTTATCTCATCCTCGCAACTTCGCACGGGAACGGGTTGATTCCTCAGCAGAATCCGCTCCGCTCCACCCTGGTTCGGACCAAGACGCACTGTACCGACTCCGATCCGGAATTCGGTGTTGCATCAGCTGTACATATTGTCGGAATACGCAAACCCTAAATCCAGCCTGCTGCGTATACACAACCTCCACTGTACAGACCTGCAGTTCCCTGAGCAACGGTCAACCCGACAATCCAAATACCCCAACGGTCGCATCTCCCCGATTTCCAATCAAACACTCATACGCCCCGTGCGTTGCGGCTCAAAATAAGCTTCGCTTCGAAACGAACGGGGCTCCCGAAAGCCGGTGGGTCTGTCACGACTCATGCTGGTTCTAGAAGATGCATTGAGCCGCATCGTAAGATTAGCCCCTTCTCTCAACGTTTTCTCAGTTATTGCCGAGGTACATATAACGTGACCGTGTTTGGATGGGACGCGTGGTGGGTTGAAGTAGGTCTTGGGCTGACGACGTACGTGCGAACACATCTATGGATCTGACTCCGAATCATGCCTACGTTTCTGTGTTGATGAAACTAATTGTCTTGTTGCAAGTAACCTTTTGCAACTGACAACGACAGGAGTGTTCATATCACAAATCTAAGCAGACCGGGTGTTCTTGTCTTGGCTTTATGAACCTCGTTATGCCCATGCGGTGGTGAGGATGGATCTATATTCGTAACACACCCTGGTTTGTGTTCCCAGTTCACTTTTTGTTCAATCACATGCCATTCCCACTTGTGAAGAATTGTACCATAACTCCCGACATCTAACTTGTGTCATTCTGATTTCATGTACATATCTTTACGTTTTATCGTAATCGTGAGTGCCCATCCAACGCCGACGCCAATGCTAGCTCAACTTGCTATGCTTTTAGATCACACTCGTCTTTCCAATGACTATCTTACACCTCGTTGCTGGGGTACGTAACCTTCTCAGTAGGCAGGAACTCTTCCTTGACCGCCCTCATGTTTACGAATCTCGACAACAGAGTCGCGCTGCCAGCCTTGTCGTTCGTTCCGCTAGCCCTCGATCCACCGAATGGCTGTTGTCCGACAACCGCACCTGTGCACTTGCAGTTGATGTAGAAGTTACCAGCGGTGTCCCTCAGCTTGTCCGATGCATACTTGATAGTCTCCCTGTCCTTTGCGAACACGGCACCAGTCAACGCGTACTCGGAAGTCTCGTCGATCTGCTTGATGATCTTGGAGAAAGCGTCGGGCGCGGCATCATCATAGACGTAGGTCACAAGGATAGGACCGAAGAGTTCGCGAGACAGGAGAGGGTGGTTGGGGTTCTTGGTGCGGTAGATGGTGGGGTGGATGTAGTAACCCTTGCTGCTGTCGTACTTGCCGCCAACGACGAGCTCAAGATCACTGTCGTTCTTTGCTTCGTCAATGACACCGGAGAGCTTCTTGAAAGATGCCTCGTGGATGACAGGGCCGATGAAGTTTGAGAAGTCCGTAG